GCGCCTTTTATATTCATTCTTATCAACCTTCGAAATCATCACTAAATTGAATAATATAATTGTGTTTTTAGATATGAATTTGAAATAAATAGATTTCACATCACTCATTTGAAAAATATATGCTTAATTTAATGTATTTTTTTTAGACGTACATTTTAGCAATGGATTTTATGGTTTTAGATTATTGGATATAAAATAATATCCCGTCTCCTTCTTCCCTTTCCCCAGTAGACACCTCCTCACCATCCTGGAGTGAGTAAGCAAGGCTTAGGCCTCCAAAATTTGTGTCAAAGTAGGGCTCCAAATTTGGGGGGAGTTACAGGGCCAGTCCAACAACTTGATGGGGGTGTTTGGTGTGGATTATTATAAGTTAAAAGCTGATAACTAGAAAGCTGTAAGCAGAAGCACCCCTTTCCCAGCTTCTAAATAATTAGTTTTTCTCAACTTATTTAAGCTATTTCTGCCTAAAAAGATGTAAGCAGAAGTTGCACCAAACAGTCTGGCACAGATTTCTAAATTAAAATAAGCTATAATCACCCTCTATAATCCACACCAAACACCCCCAATACCCACTAGGTCCTAACCCGAAATTATAACCATGCTTTTCCAATTTTACCCTTAGCCCAAAACTCACTATCCAGCAACTTGCCCGCTAGCCAGCAACACTATTATGTCTTTCTCCCTCTCCGCTAGTAACCACCTCCAGTCACCGGTACCTTCAGTCATTGGCAATCACCTTCGGCACTGGCGACCACCTCTGGCGATATTTTAATGAATTGTTTCAACAAAAATAACACCTATCACCACTACATCACTACTGCCACCACTCAATTACTCAGTCATATTTACACACACTTTCATCAGTGGTAATAGTTTTTTTTTTTTTAATTACAAATAAATTTGAATCATTCACTCTTACTCATGTTTACTCACTTATTTACAATAATCCATACACACACACAATAAACAATAGAGATTGATAAATTTATCATTGGAAAAAAAAAAATTGAATCCATCATAGATCAATACAAAATCAACAAAAATTAATAATAGATTCAGTGATAAATTTATCACTGAACACAACTAGATACTGATAAATTTATTACTGCTTTTTTTTACAGCAAATCTGTTTTTAAAAATAGATAGAGAGAGAGGTGGCATAGGGAGGTAGAGGTAGGGCCACTCTTGAGATTTATGAGATCTTAGGCACACTATGAAATGAGGCCCTCTTACATATACTTTTTTGGGTAAATTACAAATACATCTCATGAAATTTGCTTAAAATATGAATTGTGTCATGTGGTTTTGAAAATTACAGTTTGTCTCTTGAAATTTCTAATTTCATAATAAATATCGTATTTTATTAATAAATCATTAAGCCAATTAACAATATTTAATAATATCAAAATTTTATTTGATGTCAAAACAGAGGAAAAGACGAAGTGGAGCGGAAGGAAGAGATCATATTCTTAAAAAAAAAAAAAAAGATTGTAGAAAGGAATTTTTATTTTAATAGTGGGACAAGCCCATGTGATTGAGTTGAAAAACATATTGTTTTGTTTGAATAGAAAGTGTACCCGAGAGAGAGAGAGAGAGAGAGAGAGAGAGAGAGAGAGAGAGAGAGAGAATTTTAGATGGGTTAATTAAAAAATTGTGGGTTTGGGGAAGTATGTAGGACGGGTTTGATTAAAAAAATGAGAGTGTAGATTGGAAAGAGGGGTAAATTTGAGAGAGGGAGAGGAAAGATCTTGAATGTGGGCTGGTAACTGAGCAAAGGCAAAGGACAGCGATGATGGGCCGGAACTGCCAGTGTGATGGCTGAAGCTGCAGCTGGCGTGATGGAATAGATGTCCAAGGTGGAGGCAATGGCTGGAGCTGTGGTGAGTAATGGCGGTGATGGTCGGAGAAAGAGACAAATGTATGGCTGTGAGATACTCAAGTTCAAGGACTGAGGGGTTTGGGATGAAAAGATAACAAATAGGACTGAGATCTGGCGAGCAGCCAAGGACAGGTTGTAATATGTCTGATACCATGTTTACAGTATTGAAGAAATAGAAAAGTGTATTCAATAATGTGTCTCTTTACAATACAATGAGAGGCCTATATATAGTCAAGTAAGAGTGGTCACCAAGAAAGCTATCAATAAAAATATTCTAATATGGTAAAATTTAATTACAGTATCTAATATTTATATATATATGTATTTTTTTTTGATCAACAAATAAAAACGTTTATTGATGAAGAAGTAAAATTACAAGCATAACTTACATCAACAAATGAGGGAAATGATATGTTGGTCTGCTGGGATGCTTTGCTTAGGTAGTGGTCTGTTGGTCAGCTAAGCTTTGTTGCTGGTCTGTCTTGTTGGTTTTTTGTTCTATTTGATATGTTGGCTGATATATAGGGCTAGGATGGAATCTGGTGTGACCTGCTATTGGTGGTAGGGCGGTTGAGTCTGCTGTTCTTTGTTGCTCAGCTGTGTTGTTGTTGTTGTTGTTGTTGTTGTTGTTGTGATGTTTGGTCTGTTTTCTTGATGGTTTCTCACCAACTCTGGGGTGTTAGCATATGATAGGATGCGTTTTTTGGTGTCAACCTAGTTGGGATAATTTAGTTTATTGTGATGCTTTTGCACTTCCATTTTCTTTATTGATGTATTTTGTTTTGTATTTTGTATTTGATTCTTACATCAATAAAATTTCTTTTTTGCCGATCAAAAAAAAAAAAAACACAAAGGAGGGAAGTACACAAAGTATCATAGTTAGAGTCAACTATCTCAATTAAATTGGCATTGAAAAACAAACGCAATCCTATACTAGCACTAGACCCAAGAATTGGAGAGGGACCAATCAGAGGAAAAACAAGAAGGAGGATCCCACTCAATCATTTTACTTGCTCATATTTACTTAAATTGTCAAAAATCTGATTTACATTGTAAAACTTGTTTGGAGGCCAATATTTTATTAAACTCAAAAATATATTCTATTTTTTCCTGTTAACCTTATCTTGCTATGAAATGAGAAAATCAATGATTTTCAAGTATAATGAGCTTGCATTAGAAAACATGTATAATTTTATGAAAAATGATATATAAGTCCACGTTTTAGACTCATTTTTTAGATTTAATGACATGTAAGTGAAGTGATTAGTTGATAATTAGAGAAGATATGAGAGAGAATATTGTCTTAGATATCTTAATTGATTGTCATATCATTGAAGTTAAAAAATGGGTAATTTTTAAACTTGTATAGTAATACTCTAATTTTACAGTTTGTGAAGAAAATAATTTTAATTTAAATCACGATGAAATTCATTTAAGATCATGACTAAGTGGTTAGCAACTTCATTATCTAAACCATACTAGACACAAACATAATTGAAAATTCTGCTACGTTATTTTCAACATTAAATGAATGATATTTAATGGAAATAAAATATGTTGTGTTTAACTATATTTGTAATCCTTTGAATGGACTTTATAGGTTGAGTTAATTACCCTTGAGCATTTGTTGATCGTTGGAATGGATAACGTAATAGAGATATGGCCTAGGGAACTTCAACCTAAAGTGAGAGAAATGATTATTATGCGGTGTCGTAAGCTATCGAATATTCTTTTTCCATCCAATGTGATTAAGGGCATGCAGAGTCTTGAACGACTTAAGGTGGCGTGGTGTCAATCTGTGGAAGTAGCATTTGATCTTGAAGGAATAATTGTTAGGGAAGGCTATCCAGATATCGTACTCCCTTCATTAACAAAATTGGTCCTACTTTATCTACCAAAGTTAACACATGTTTGGAAGAACAACTTACTAAGAATTCCAAGCTTTCAGAACCTGACATCCTTAACAGTAGTGGGTTGTAGCAGTTTGAGATATATATTCTCATCTTCTCAACCCAAACTTCTTGTGAAACTACGAGAAATAGCTGTAGCTGAATGTGGTGTGCTGGAAGCGATTGTTAATGAGGAACCAAAAGTAGATGATGAAGTCGCAACAAATATAATCATGTTCCCTCAACTAAATAGTCTCAAACTCTATCATCTGCCAAGCCTCAAGAGTTTATGTCCCCAAGCTTACACATTTAAAGGATCATTCATCGAGGAGATAAAAGTAATCAACTGTCCCAACATGAGGGCACTCCCTTCAGCATTGCAGCGCAAGCTAGAGTTACAAGAGAGCAATGTTCGAGAAGTGGAATTTTTTAACTCAGCTCAACACCCTCTCTTGGATAAAAAGGTAAGTGAGTTGTGTTAAAATTATAGTATTCAACATTAACAACCCATTCTTTCAAAGAAAATATTTCCAATATCCATTAAACTAAGGATAAACCTCTAAATGTTTGAAAAGGAAAGAATTGTTGGGTACACAAAACCAAGGAGAATAAACTCTTTAAGCATTGATGTGGTCAAAGATTTTGTCAAGAAAAATAATTCATTCTTTAAAAAAAAAAATAGACATAATTTTTTGGGGTTGTTACATCTCAGTGAATGTCAGAAAAAAAAAAAAAAATACAAGTCCACGAAAAAGTTTATGATTTTAATTATTAATATTTATAAAATTTCTCACTAATTTATAATTATTTTTTCTAAACTCTACTATGATATTACTCCTAATTTTTTTTCTACAATGATGTAACGGTGGTATCTTTTGTAATTAAATATCATTTTAATGGGCACTTGATTTTAAAAGGACAAGTCTCAGTACAACCACATCATTTTGTATACAAATGTTATATGTTTTTTTAGTTTGTATATCATTATTTTTTTGCCAATTGTTCCCAGCTCCCAAATAAATAATGTTAACACTAAGGGAGTGTTTGTTTAGACGGATTAGATAGGGGCAGATTGCAACACAATGGACTATTAGTTCTAAATAATTAATTAGTCCCTGAATTATTTTGTTGGAAATCATGTGTATTTCACTATTAGTCCGATCATTATTTTTTAACCAAACAATGGGTTAGTAACTATGTCACTAACACAATTGAGGTGATAACAATTGCAGTTTAGTTTAAGCACCAACGGAATACTAGATGTCACAGGAATAGATGAACCAACTGAGATATGGCACAATCAACTTGATGTCGGATGCCTTGACAAAGTAGGTTTCATGCGGGTCCAGTGTTGTGGAAAATTATCAAGTGTTGTCTCGTCTAAGTTAATGCAAAGGCTGCACAATATACAAGGACTAAAAGTATGGTGGTGTGATTCATTGGAAATGATATTTGATCTCCAAGAGGGTGTATGTGCTGATGTTGCTGAGAAAGAAACATTAATCACTCAGTTAATCGAATTGAAATTGAAGTATTTGCCAAAGTTGACGCACATATGGAAGAATATTTCCCAACAAACTCATTGTTTCGAAAATCTAAGTTCTCTAAGAGTGGAGCACTGTGACAACCTGAGGTATATATTCACAATTTCCATGGCCAACGTTCTTGTGAATCTACAAATTCTAACAGTTGAACATTGCGAGAAGGTAGAAAAGATTGTCACCAAGGAAAATGAAGAAGAAATCTTTTCGCAAGAAATTAACTCTGTCAACCTTTTAAATCTTCCAAGTCTCGTGTGTTTTGGCCCGGATGTAAATGATACCAAAATTCCAGCCGAAGACACCATTGTAAGCCTCTGCCCCAAATTTCCAGGTAAAACTCCAATTATATATTTGCAAGTTTTCGACGAACTCAAGAAGGCAACTTCACTACTCAATTTTTTAGCTATACATCTTACAGCTAAGAAAAAAGTAGTTATGATAAGGTACTATTTGATTCACTGGAATAAATGTGGATTGAAATGGAATAATCATTTCTTAGCCTCTTTAACAAATGATCATTATTTTACAATAGTAAACAATAATTTTATTTATAATATATTTTATATTATATTTTTAGTACATCAAATATGAAAATATATGTTCTAATGGAATCACCATTCCATTTCATTTAATTCCAATGAACCAAACATAAGATAAAGGAACACAAACCTATGGTATGTCCAATGATAATTGGACAATGTTAGGAATCTCAAACATTTTACATAATATTCTACTCAGTCACTCACATTACTAATGAATATGGTTAAACTTTAGGGAAAATTACAATTAGGTGCTTATAAGTTTGCAAAATGATAATATTTATTTATTTTTTAATTTTAATTTTTATTTTATTTTATTTTTGACAAAGTTAGGAAATTAGCAAGTTAGTAATTAGATTAGGGTTAATTTCTGTAACGCCCTCAAAATAAACCCATAAATCAACCAACAATAGCATGCATAGACATAAGAAGATAAAGCATAATTGTATTCCATCAGAGTAATCCTTACAAAATGTATTACATGTTGACAACAAAAGTAAATGCCCTAAAGGCTTACAACTTTCCAAGTCAACACTTGGTTACAAAAAAAAGGAGCACTAGCTGTATACAAAGAAAGCCCTTGGCTTGATATACATGTAATACAACCAAAACACAAAACGGTCCAACAGTTCCAAGCCTCCCAAGCTACGTCCTTGGAGGTGACATGTTACCTGTACCTGAAAGTAATGTCCCATATAGGGTGAGCCAACGCCCAGTAGAGATATGCTAAACACAATATGAGCAGTAACTAAGACATTAGCAATTTATAAATGTTTGATTCTCTTAAACCAATTCATACACCACTTTCATTACATGACACATATGTCCGTGTTTCATTTCATTTTCCATTTCTTATCAAGTTCACAATTCACAACTACGGCTCAGAACCTGGCCAACCATTTACATGAGATAGTGACTCATATTAAACATTTCCCATTTCACAATAGATAAGCATCCTAGCTATATCAACACTTCGGTAGACAAGCATATAAACTATATCAACATCTCAACAGATAAGCATATGAGCTGTATCCACACTTCAACAGATAAGCATATAAGCTATATCAACACATTAACTGACAAGCATATGAGCTGTATCAGCAGAGTCCATCCCCTATCTCCTCCAAAAAAACATCCGGTTTAGAGGTCCATCTCCTATCTTCCCCTAAACCGTGGAGTACATCCCCTATCTCCTCCCACACACACAACGTATATACACATAGGTCATATACATAATCAATCAATACATACAGTTAATGTATTCTGTCATCCGTCATACTCTATGACACATCCAATTGATTAGTTTTAGTTTGCCTAATCATCATGCATTGTCTACAGCAATCATAGCTACCCTCCACCGGTAGCCCAAGGCAATTATTTCTAAATAGATAATAAAAGCACCAACAGATAAAATATCCATATTTCCAAAAGCGAGCGATTAATAATCCAATTTCACTAGTCCATCTCATAATGAGCCAATTTCATTATGTTCAACTCAATTTCATAAATCCATAACTTTCCCAAATTAATTATACCAATTAATTTATATACAAATTCGAGCTTTCTTCCCCATTTCTCAATATCAACCCAATGGTTCATATATCAACAACTAACAACAATAACACCACTTTGAAACCCAAAATACATATTTAAGAATCAAAATGACAAAACCCCCATTTATACTTTTTGAAACCCTAAGTCCCAAAATCATTCCATTTAACAAAATGCCCAATAATCTAGGTCAAAACCGATAAGAGTGAGTAGGAATCCCTGCCTCAAAAGATGAAACCCAACGAAGGAGATGACGAAAATGAAGATGCTCCAAATCCCGAAATTTTTGGATCAAAGTGTAGCCCTCGACGATCAACACAACTTTTACAAAGGCCGAAGGAAAGGAAAGCACTCTAACTAGATCAAACCCTAGAGAGAAGGGAGTTTCTAGAGAGAGGCTCTCAAAAACATTTCTGGGAAAGTAAGAGAGAGAGAGGAAGTGTAGAAAATGATTCAAAAATGCCCAGCTGCCCTCTGTTATACGACATTCCCGCTCGAGCGGAGAACACAACGCTTGAGCGTTGAGAACAAAAGCCTAGGTCCGCTCGAGTGCAAGAAGGCTCGCTCAAGCGCCAAGACACAAGAATAAAGTACATCCGCTCGAGCGCGAAAACCAGTCCGCTCGAGCGTAGATTTCCCCCTCCCATAACTTACACAAAAAATGTACTACCCGCTCGAGCTCCAACAAGCCCGCTCGAGCGCGACCCGCTCGAGGGCAGGAAATCCGCTCGAGCGTAGAAATCACACCTGCAGAAGTTTTACAAACCACAAAAATACTGGGAGTGTGCAATTTCTGCTCGAGTGCTAGATGACCCGCTCGAGCGGAACGACCAAAAACCTGGCAACTAGATTTTAGATCAAGGCTCAACCCACCTGCTCGAAACATACCCAACACATCCTAAAACTCGAACATAAGGAATTAAAGGATGACAACAAGGTATACAACCACCAATTCCACGGAACCAAAGTCCAGAATACAACAAATACAGAAAGGGAAAACCGAGATCGCTATAATTTCACTTTTAACTCTTATAGTTTAAACCAAGTTCCACTTTGGTCCCTATGATTTCAAATTAAATAGTTTGATTTCTATACTTTAAATCCAGTTTTAGTTTGGTCCTTCTATTAGAGTTGGAAGTTAAAAACAATGATTTTGAAATGTACAAATAGAAAAAATTAACGAAAATTTGGATGAGAGAATCAAATTGAAATGGGAATTAAAATGTAAGAACCAAAATAAAATTTGAGTCAAATTATAAAAGTGAAAAATAAAATTAACTTCTAAAAATATTTTCACAAGGTAAACACTAGTCAGTCAAAAGGGTGAAATAAGGTACTAAACCTAACCACACAACTACCTCACCAACAACCATGGTGTGTCCAACACAATAATACTACACATTTAGATTTATCATTTTATGGTTCAGATTTATTTCACACATGGACCACACACTATACAAATTCAATCTCAATTACACATTTCCATTCTAGGTAAATTCGGCATAGTTAAGTGGGGTTCATATAATTATTGGTGTCCAACAATAAGGGAAATCCCTTCCGGAGGTGGTGCAAGTATTTTTCTTAAATATATTTTTATAGTAAATATTATGTAATTTTTCAATAAAATTACAATAATTTGTGATTCAAAACTAAAATTAGGCATTTTTGTAATGTTTAACTTTATTTTTTAATAATAAACTCTCGTAATTCTATCAGAGAATTATATAACAATTGTCACAAACTGTCATAATATGTACCAAAAAATTATGTAAAAAAATACATATGATACACACCCTATCGCATGCTTGAGATACAAATGATGTTAGCAACAATGAACTTTGTATTTAAGAATTAATAGTATATATATATTCTTAAGATGGATCATACAATACACACATATTTTTAGAGTGCATACTATATGCAAGTTATGATAATTGTGGTACTAATATTACAAATATCATAATTAAATCACTTTCAGTCATAATTAAAATATAAAAAAAAATGGGTCATAATCAAAATTCACTTAAGACATAACTAAAGATCTCATTGGTCATAATTAAAATAGTAACCACAATATTTCATAATCAACACCACAATAAGTCATAAACCAAATATCATTTGAGGTAACTAAAAAAATTTCAATCATAACCAAAGTAACAATTATAATAAGTCATAATTAAATCATAACCAACACTATAATGAATCATACCTAAATCATAACAAACATCACTACTGATTATAACTAATCGCAAAATTCATAATTAAACATTTTGTTTTGAGCAAACTTCACTTTGTGGTTTGAATCATGTACGGTTTACCTCCTAATGTTTGGAAATAATTACATAATCCCCATGTTGTTTGTGAACTAAAGTGTACCGTTAAACATTTCGTCCAACTTAACAGCAAGTGTAAAATATGTGGTAGACATAAGAAGGTTATATGCTTATTTTCAAATTTCAAGGTAGTAAATCACACATGGAATAAAGCATAAGGGATTAAAATGAACTTACCTTTCAAACAGATGAAAAAATACAAGGGTATTTTAGTCTTTTTTATTGAATTGTTAACGGCTTAACGATACACTTCAGTCCACAAACCACAAGGGTTTATGTGGTCATATCTAAATATTAAGGGTGTAAACCAGACATAACCCAAACTATAGAGGTAAAGTGAAGTTTGTGCTTTTGCTTTTGAATGGAATAAGTACACATATGATACAAATCATTTTTATTGTGTGAATTATAGAATTTCTCTCTTCACATCAGGGATGGAGTGAGCATAGGCCTAGTGCCCCGCCTTAACTTTCTAAAATCTATGTTTTAGTATAGGTTTATAAATAGTTCTTTCATTTTATGACAGAAATCACCTTTATGATGTTATAAAATCTATCTTTAAATGTTTGTTTTCTTATTTTTGATAATATTTGCTAGTTAGTTCTTATTGGTATTTTTTTCTCCCTTCTGCGACAAATATATATACAAATATCTAGATGATTATTTATTTTTTTGATGAAATCTCTTAATAAAATAGTTTATGTTGTTTGGAGACGATCCTTACAGTCTAAGTCAATGTCATGATTAGAAATAAGGGTTAAGTTTATTAGGGTCGAAGTGCAGCGCAATGGGTAACACTATTATAGACATAATATTTTATTTTACTATTACCTCAGCCAAAATTCAAACTCCGCCATTGCTTTAGATATGCTTCATGCCACCATCAATTGTTTACAGTATAGAAGATGTGTCTGGGTTCATTATTTTACTAACAAATTATTTTTACTTCAAGATTGCCAAATATTAACATTAGTTTCTCTTTAATTGCTACATAGGCAATGAGGATGACATTGACTATGAGGAACTGGACTTTGACTTTGATGTTGGCGAACTTGTCGAATATGAAGATGACTGTGTCGAAGATAACTAATGTTAACACCGTTGTCGGGTATTAACAATTGCAGATTATCAACTCTTTAGAGGAAAGGTTTATGCATACATATCCTATTGATACACACACACACACACACAAAAAAAAAAATGTCATTGCACAAAATGTTAGTTCTTCTTGTTTTTACTAATTAACTTTATTTTTGAGGAATGCTAGGTACGGAAATTTTATGGTAGTGTGTACTATATGCACTTTTAGTTAGATTTATGTGTCATTTGTTATGACTTATAGTGTTATTAGTTATAACATATTATGATGTTGGTTATGACATTATTTTATTTATGATCCAAGAGTTATTTGGTTATACTTCATATGATGTTTGGTTATAACTCTATTTTATTTATTTATTTATTTATTTATTTATTTATAGTTAGTTATGACTCCCATGGTGTTAAGTTATGCCATTTATAATAATCAAACTCACAAATGACATATCTTTTCATATAGTATTTCCCTGTGTCAATTAATGTTTTTCTTCCTATTTCAATATGTTCAACTATAAACATATCACAAAGGATTATCCAGTTCAAACATATGCTAAATGCAATCATTCTTTTCACAAAAGAGGATATAACTGGATTTTGCTCTCTTTTTTTTTCCCCTTTCTTTCTTTGTTTCCTTACTCGATGACTAGCAAGTTGTAAGTTGGGAGATATGATTGAGACCGAAATGTATACCGTTGAAGCATATAATTGAGATTTCTTAACCCTCTTCTTGATGCAACTTTGTACATTTTACCAATGTTTGATGTGAATCAAGTTCGATGTGTTTGAAGTACAAAATGAGCCAGAAAGTGATATTTTAGTTAAAATGCATGCACTGCACGTGCGGAGGGTCATTCCTACACGTGTGGTCCCCTTCCTGAAAATAAAAAAGAACTGCATAATCCACACGTGCAAAGGGTTTTTCCCGCATGTGCGAAGCCCTTCCCATACGTGCTGCCTTTCCCGCACGTGAGGCCATGTTGATTTTCATGCACGTTTTTCTAAAGTCACCTATTTTGCTGGAAAAGTATAAGATGAGGAAAAAAAGGCTGTTCTAGGGTTCGAAAATTCTCTGAAAAAATAGGCAAAGGAGGCTAGGCTTTTGGAGTTTTGGAGTTGAAGGATTGGAGATCTTCCATGGCAGTTTCTTCATCATCTTTCTACTCCTTCATGAGCAGCTAGGCTTCTCTTTCTAGAGTTTTGATGAAACCCTAGCCATGTATATAGAGTTTTAACTAGGCATTGATTGTTTAAACAGTTTGAACAAGTCGTATGAATGTTTTAGTAGTTTTAATTTCAATTCCTTTCTATTCCTTTCAGTATTCTACTTTCAATAATTATTGAATACTTTTCATACAATGGTTTTCTTTGTGTTGCACTTAAAGTGCGAGACGAGTCATGCTATGAGAGACGAGTCATATTACTGCCATAGTCTAGAGCAAACGACTTATACTACTTGAAATGATTCGTGCCTATACGTTGAACGCAACAATTCTTTTGATCAATGTTTCAAACTTGTAGTTGTGAAACATTGAGTAGTTCAAACCGTATTGCAATTAGAAGTCAATGTTAAACCCTATTTACACAACTAGTGGTGGATTCTTTGTATAAGAGAGCAATTATGAATTTCATTTTTTTAGTTAATTCTGTTAAATAAATTGTTTTGAAAATGGGGTATTTATAATTTTTCGAATCACAAGGGACAATCTATACTTTAAGCAAACCTCAAGGAGTGTATTTGTAATTTACCCTTTAATTTTCTAGTTGTAATTTTATTTTAATTCTCGCTTGAATTTTATTCTCATCAATTGTTCTCGTCTAAATTAATCTAGGAATCTTGCCATTAAAATTAGTTGAATTTCACATTAGTCCTAGTGGATTGATACCTAGATTTGCCATTATTCTACGGAATTTAGGCACAGTTTGGACTTTATTTTTGGTGTGCTTAACAACCTACCAGTTACCATTATCACCTCTCTACCACCAATCACACTATAACCACCATTGTCACTACCATTACCATAGCCACCACCCAACCACCACTATCACAATCCACACCACTGCTACCATGACTATTAGTATCATCATTTTAGAGTCCTAACCAAATATAGGAATTGTTTTCTACTGAACACATATTTCAAAAAATCTTTCATAGATTTTTGTTTCCTCTTCAAAACAGACACATCATCGTATATAGTAGTTTGTATGTAGGCTTCTTTTTAATGAAAGAAATAAATTTTGAAATAAATTTATGCTAAAACAAAAGTACAAACAAATAGATGGAATATATATGTTTGTACTTTGTTCCTGTTTTAGCATTTTTATCTCTTCTGATTTTCCTAATAATTTTCTTCTTCTTTTGAGATTGACCTAATAACTATTTAGCTTTGGTTTTTTTGGCATCTCCAGATTTGTTAACTAAACTAAGATATGGCATATGTTGTTGATGTTGGGAAAAACTACTCACATTACATAATTTCATATTGCATATCGCAAAATTATGAGATAAATAAAACAAACCTTCAATCCCAAGAAAAATAACATGCTGAATAAAATACAGATAAAATATAAAATGGTTAAAGGAAGCAAACCGAAGCCTGTGTGATACCACAGTTTTCTTAAAATAGATTCGCCGCCTCACCGTTGGGTGCTAGAGGTACGCCGGCGTTTACTTCCCAGGATACGACGGTTTTTACCAGCTACAACAGAAGCACCTTCTTATTAGCTTAGCGAACGGACAACGGAAACACTCTCTCTCAGGAAGAAAATTATAGGAGAAGTAGACTGACAGTGTATGGATGTCAAGGAAAAATTCTATATCTCTTTTCAAGGAATAGGGCCTCCTTTTATACACCATGAGGGAGAGGGGAGGAGCCTCTAGCCATCAAGGCTAGCAACTAATGCTAGCAAAACTGGCCAATCAATTTTGTAAAACTGATGAGCCTTAAATGTGTGAGTTATATACACATTTATGAGGCAATTTCTCATTCAACCATTTTTCTCCAACAATCCCCCACATGAATAAAAATTGACCGAATACAGCAAACGCTCAACGTTTATCAACAAAGACTCAGAAAGAGAGAGAGCACATAGACTAACCCTGCATCAGAAAAGGTAGCTGTTGGCTTTGAACCTTTCGTAGTGAAAGCCTATCGGATTTACTGGCTGACCAGTGAACGTGATGTCTTGAACTGTTCTGCCGTTTATGTAAATCGTGACAATAGACCTCACACAGGAGTTAGTCCAACCATTGTTCTTGTTCTCACTGGTGTGTTCGGTATGGCCCTGGAACACTAGCCTGGTTCTGTGAGTGTTTTTAAAGAATTTGGCCTTGGCAATTCTTAAAGAAGCGGCCCCACTTCGCACTCACATAGGTGACCTAGATACGGTATTTCATTATACCACATCACTAAGGTCATTAAAAGCATTAGCTTAACCTTCCACCTCCACAGGGCATCACTGTATAAAGGAATGGGCAAGAGGATTTACCTCTTCAGTGACTCACCCGTTACACGAAGTTAGGTTGTCCCTTTGAACCTAGATCTTGGGATCTCCAGTCAACTAGGTTGGGTTTGCCGTTCCGGTAACCTTTACTAAAGGCCTCAACCCCATTCCTCTTGACGACTTTTCTACTAACTCTCAAGTTAACCCTTTGGTTAGCGGATCCACAATGTTGTCCTTAGACTTGACATAGTCTAGAGAGACAACTCCATTTGAGAGTAGTTGTCGTATGGAATTATGTCTACGACGGATATGTCTAGACTTTCCATTATACATATTACTCTGTGCTCGACCAATCGCTGATTGGCTATCGCAATGAATACTGATAGCTGGCACAGGTTTCGGCCAACGTGGAATATCCTCAACAAACTGGCAAAGCCATTCAGCTTCTTCAGTTGCTTTATCTAAAGTAATAAACTCAGATTCGATCGTTGATCTCGAGATACACGTTTGCTTGGCAGATTTCCAAGACACGACTGCCCCTCCGAGGGTAAACACATAACCACCAGTGGATTTGGAATCTTTTATATTAGATATCCAATTTTCGTTACTATACCCTTCTAGTACTGTTGGGTATCTGGTATAATGCAGCCCATAATCCAGGTGTAACGGATATACCCCATCACCCGCATAATGCCCTTCTAATGAGTAGCATTAGGATTACTCGTGTATCTACTCAGCCTACTAACAGCGTAGGCGATATCCGGCCTTGTACAACTCATCAGATACATCAAACTCCCAATGACCCGAGAAAATTCTAGTTGAGAGACACTCTCACCATTATTCTTGGTCAAATATAGACTTAAGTCTACCGGTGTCCTAAACATACTTGTATCTGACTTTCCAAATTTCTCAAGTATCTTATTAACATAATGAGCTTGAGAAAGTACAATACCACCAGATATTTTGGTAATCTTAATATCCAGAATCACATCTACAAGGCCCATATCTTTTATGTAAAAGTTAGAGTTTAACAACTTCTTAGTAGTTCTGAACATCTCATCATTGCTACCAACAATGAGTATGTCATCAACGTATAGACACAAAATGACATAACGAATCTTCCAAAGGCTATGTGGCAGAATAACCTCAGTCCAACGTGTAAAAATAATAAGTGTTTCTAAATTTGAGAGATTGGATATTGATGGCGGTAATGTTGGTAAAAACTACTTACATTACATAATTTCACATTGCATATCGCAAAATTATGAGATGAACAAAACAAACCTTCAATCCCAAGGAAAATAACATGCTGAATAAAATACAGATAAAATATAAAATGGTTAAAAGAAGC